GACGTCTGGGCGGGCGTGTTCAGCGCGGCCACCGGGGAGGGCCAGGAGAAGCGCTCCCCCGCCACCACGGCGCTGTGCCTCTTCAGGATGAGTGAGATCCAGGCGCGCGCCAAGAACTGCCGGCGGGACTTCTGGTCCCCGGAGCCCAACTGCGTAAGTCCTGCCCCGGGACGCTGCCAGGAGCGCTTCTGCTGGGGAGCCGCCGCCGAGGCAGAGAGGGAGGGAGAGCGGGTTGGCATTTACCGGATCCGGGATTCACACAGCCCGGTGGCCGCCCGACGCCATTCTCACCCAGGCTACGAGGCCTCGGAGACTCTAAAGCAGGGCCAGCGGTCCCCAAAGGGAGTGTAAAAGGGGAGGTGGCGAGGGCAGGAGTGAGGCTCAAAACTCCAGTGCCTGAATCCCAGTGCCGTCCTTCCCTGTCCAGACGTGGGCGCTGGTTTGGGGCTGAGCCTCCCATGCAGCCCCACCCCTCCCCTCCCTAATCGCTAACTCAGGTGTGTGGTTTTAGCTGGCTTGTGGCTTTGACCCCTTTCCAAAACATGGTCACCAAACATAGTGCCCTCCGCAGAGAAGCCGCTTCCTAAAGGACTTGCTGCCACACCCCAGGCCTTGTGCCCCCCGCCGCCGTAACACAGGTGATGTGGTCTGAAGAGTTGGTAGCCTGCTGAACCTGCGGCAGAGCCAGCCTGGAAAGGTTCGCGTTCGACCAAACAGAACCCTCAGCGCGACCCAGCGCAAGGGGGGCGGGGCTGTGGTTCTGCGGATGGTGCGCTGTGGTCTCCCGCGGGGTGGGCGAGAGGGTGGGCAGGCAGCGGTGGCTTTGTAGGCAAAAGCCTCACCCTGGAGGGGAGAGCAAGAGAAAGTGTTGGGGTGCTACAGGCAGTTTCTGGGCTCCCGATTGCCTGACTACATCGTGGGGCTCCGCTGCACCACCCTTGTGTGGTACCCAACCAGGCAAACAGCACAGGCTTCCCTGGGGTGCCCAGGGCAGCCACAGCTGACTCTTGAGATTGGCATTTCTTTGACTGGAAAATAAAGCAGCGGTTCAAGAGGGTCCAGTTGATGGGGATTATGGAGCCATTGTGCACTTCTCAGCGGCCGTTTTCCTTCCAAGGCTGCTGGCACATCTACTCCACATATGGCTCCTGAGAGCGAGCCTGCTGAGAGCCTCCTTTATAACTGGACGGAAATCAAAGAGCAGGAATTAATGGCTACAGGTGTTGCCATTGTTTTGGCATAAAAGGCGTCAGGGAGGCAAGGGAGCAGTCTCCACTTGGAAAATGTGTTGTGTTGCTACAATTGTTGTGTAGGCACACAGGGGGGCATTGGCTCTAAGGTGTATTAATATGTGCATAGAAAGACACTCCCACCCCACTCACCCCTTTCTCGGCAAAACCCATCTTACTAAATATTAGCCCTATTTTCCAGGGAGAAAAAATAATGTAAGTCCTCTGCAAGGCTCCTTAGAATGGTCATTTGCTTGTTCCACCTTGCCTATCTGTTGCATGCTGATAATGCCTTCATTTAGTCACTGGTATAATTTTTTAAAGCATAAATGACATATAATTCATCCTAAAGGACTTCATCTTTCTATACACATATATAATTTAATATTTACTATCTGTCTTTATTAGATCTTTATATTCTATAGTTTGAGTTTGGCGAAAATTATCGCCTTCCACTCCTCTGTTGAAAGACTTGAAAATACCCCCAAATAGTACTTTGTGTCAAGCTTAAGGCATAGTTGGTCTCTGGGGCTAATGACAAGACAGCTCAGAGGCCCACAGCAGGTAATAACAGTGGAAGTCCAAGCTTTGCCATCTGACAGCTGTGTAGATGTGTGGAGCCAAAACATTTCTCTTGACTGCCTCTCTCTACCCATTGGGTCCTGGAGGACTTAGTTCCCTTCCAAACGCAGCAGGCATCCTGAATGCAGTCAGAATCCGTGTTTTGGCTCGATCAGGTGTTCCTGCTGGTGCTGGGATGAGGAGGGGAAGGGGCAGTGGGAGAGCTGTTTATCATCTTCACGGGAGCTTCTGGGAGAGAGCTGCCCATTGGAAATCAAGCGAGGGATAAACACATGCTGCCAAAAAATCTGGAATTGGAAAAAGACATAATTAAAAGAGGTCCCTCCATAGCATTTCTTGCTGCTGTTATTTATTGAGAACTCCCAGTGTGCTCAGAGCTATGTGTTCTGAAAGACGGGGTCTCTACCCCCTGAGCTTGTCATCCAAGTTAAATAATACACTCTGGTTCAAACAATAGCATGTCATGGTCGCACAGGTGGGAGCTTGGAGTTTTGCTTTCTTTTTTTTTCTTCCCTCATTTAAGTAAATTTCTTGCTGCTAGTATGCACTAAAAAGTCTTAGTGGAATGGGATTTCAAGAGGGGTTTGAATTGGGGGAGGGGGAGGTGGTAGTTTTGCTGAAAAAGCTATTTTCTAACCTATTAAGTAGGCAGATAGGATACTTCATTCAACAAACATTTGTTTGATGCCTCCTAGTGTGAGCAAGGCTCTGTGCTGGGTGCCACTGATTTTGCCGCTGAAAGGACAATGGCAGGTTGCAACCCCATTTAATGGGGTCATGGGATCAGTGTGCCTCCAGTTGTCACTCAGAACAATGCTGTCATTTGAATGGCATTTGTTCTGCATTTTATTTTCAGGTTTGATTGTGTTTTGGAAAAGGCAGGCTGAATTATAGGTGCCGAACACAGGAGACAGACTTGAAACACCCTAGCGGGAGCCTCAATAGATTCCAACCGCGGTTCCTTCAGAGCAGACAGTCATTTGAACAGTAAGCCACAGGCAGCGAGGCACAAGCGGCCCGATGTGCTTGCCTTCTCCCTCTCCTATTAGAGGGCTTGCTCTGATTTTCCATCTTCAATCAACCATGGGTAGCAAAGTGACAGGAGCGACTGGGTTGTGTTTCCTCGTTTCTTGGCTCTCTTCCTGTCAATCACATGTTGCTGATTCTCTTCCCCTTCAGCTCCTCCTGCTGAGGGTTCATTTGGGGGATGCTTGTGCCACGAGTGCGTACTACTCAGCCTTTTTCACACTGGCCTGTTGCTTTTTTCTGCCTTGCCATCAACTTCGAATCCCCTTTCACAACTCCAGCAGGTTAGCTTCAGCTCGTGAACGTGCCAAGGCAGCCGATTTCTGTGGACTTTAATACATAATAACAGTCCTATAATAATCATGATGATAATCCCGGGAAATATTTGCGCAGCGCCTTGCCATATATTATGTCTTGTGAGCCCTCATCAAGTCTGAGGCTGAGTCTATGAGGAACATTCCCATTTATCTGATGAGGAAGCACAAAAGAGCAAAACAGCGGGTGTCAAGGCCCTCCAGCCTAAACCCAGGTCTTGCAATGTCTCCTTGTGTATTTTTTCAACTCTGGTGCCTCTCAAACTTTCCCTTGAAAGTCCCCTGACTGAAAAGGCAGCAGCCAACCTCCCCTAAATGTGGAATTGAGGTTGGAGGGGGCCCTTTGAAATGCATTTTTAAAACTTCATGTGATTTTTTTTCATTCTATTTCCTAACATATCTGTGTGCTTTGGTTAATATAAAAAATGAATGTTTTAAATTATGCACAAGCTAATTAATTTAATTTCCTCCCTCTCTGAGCGCCAGCTACTCCTTGCACACCAGTGCACTTGTAGAAAGTGTTTGTACCCGAGGTTTGAAGTCTGATTGTTCTAGGTTTGTTTAGCTGCCATAGTTGGGTCCTGGGATTGCCTGTGGTTTAAACATGGTGACCACCCCCTCTGGAGACACTGAGAGTGGTGTTTTCTTATCCTGTTGGCCAACGGGACCAAAGCCTGACATAATTTAGCTGTCATGCAGACAACCACAAAACGCTTACATGCTCTCCGGCAGACAGTAACCCAAGACACTTCTAGCCACTGCATGCAGAAGTGATGTCCCAGGACCACTTGGCAGTGCAGCCTTCTTGACCTCAAAATCCACAGTCTTCCTGTCACGTTTATTCCTCCTTTGGTTTCGGTTATGATCCTGTCTCACCATTTTGCAATCTATAGGCTAGATGGTGACTTTTACCCTCATATATACATTTGATATGCAACGGTGGGTTTTCAAAGCTCAATACCCACTCAGAGGGAAAAAGCAGTCATAGCTACTATCTACTAGATAGCTGTCATGGCCAGGCTTTGTATTAAGTACTTTACATGCCTCACTTGTGGTTGATTCTCACAGCCATCCAATGAGACAAGGACCATAGGTATTATTATGATTTTGTAGGTGATAAAATTGAGGACCAGAGAGCTTTAATAGGTTCCACAGCTGGTAAATGGCAGAGGTTTTAGGACCTGGGTGGTCTGGCCTTGGACAGCCCGGCACCATGGATAGTGGGTGTCAGTTCTATCCTGTGTGGAGCTAGCTGGGCTCTTGCAACTGCTCTGATAAGATCAGCTGTTTGCGGACATGAGACTTATGATAGAGCAGAGAACCCTTGACCATGAACTGAGTTTCTGGTTCTGTGTGTTTGACCACCTGAAGTTAACATTCGGGGAGGTTGTAATTCTGAAACTGTCAGCTTCTAGATAGTGCTGGCGTTCTTTGTATTCAAGGTTATAATGACCTCAGTGAGACCTACAGGGCCTCAAGGGAATGCTCCTAGTTGTTGTTCTTGGGCACAACCTAGCTCATAATCTAAATCCAGAGACCTCAGCCTAAATCTAGACCACAGACACTCTTTTCTTTATCAGCAGCCACAATTAAAATGTAATCCCACGGTAAGGGACCTTGTAACATTTTATTTTTTGTTGAACCAAGAGTACCTAGCATGTAGTGCCTTGTATAGTTGGGGACTTGAGAAGTATTTGTTGAATTAACAAATGAAGGGTCTTAAAGGAACATGTTGGGAATGATTTCTGTACTTAGTGGCAATATTTTCCTGAATCTGGCCACCTCATTCTCCCTTAACTATTGTGTTTTCCTAATGTCTGATGCATCCAGGCCTCTTTTTCCCAGTTTCAGGCTGTCTGGCATCCTCCACTCCTCTGGCTCTTCCTAGAAATCCCCATTCATTGGAATAGCCAGACTTCTGATCTTGCCAATTTGGAGGTTAACTTTGACTGTGGAAACCCAGCATGGTTGGGTCTTGTATGGCATCCTACATAATAAAAGC